TCAATTCTATCCCGCAGCGAGAGGAGATGTTTCATGCTTTGGCTGATCTTTCCATCCAACAGGGCAGCAACCGATGCCTTTTCCAACGAATGCACTAGCTCTGCCTGCGAAAGAGCGCCGAGCTTTAGATCCAATTTAAGAATAGAGAATTCTTGCGCAATCTGAGGGGTCATCAATCTAGGCTCTGTCGGGATGCGGCGTTGGGCCGAGGCACTGGATTCTCCCAATTCGTCGCTACCAATCGAGGTGGCTGCGCGCCTCAGCTCAGCCCGGGGTGGGGTGTTAGGTGTGCTATCATTGTCTGCCAATTCGGACTGAGTTCGCTGCAGTGTTGGTCGGTCCGTGGGGGAAGAGGGCGTGCTCTGCACGGAGGGATAGTGGGCCGGCCATTGGCGGTTCATGTCCTGAAGCTCCTTCAGTGTATCGATGGTCCGGGAGATCGCACGAGCAAGTTTGTTTCGATTTGAGTTGCTGAAAATACTGTAAGCCTTGGACTTCTGTGAATGTGTTGTTTGCGGAGATGCGAGACATACTAGAGAAGTTGAGAGACATGACTGGCAACCACTTGCTTCTCATGCTCAGCTATATCCCAGGGTGAATTAGCTCAAATTCCTCCGCTTTTGTTCGCACCATCGCATGGCCGCCAGCTACCTACCTGCGGGATTCCATTCTCCAGGGCGCGTTGGAGTATGCATCGGAGTCGGCCTATCCTCCATCAATCCTGCACGCCAAGCAGAGTTCGCATCCTCCTCCGTATCGGCAATACTGCCTCCATAGCCAGAATCTTGGTTTAGCGAGGTCATCAAGGCCGTCGCGCTATCTGAAGTCGAGCCGTTGCCTACAGTCATATAAGTCGGCGGGGGACGGAAAAAAGGATTCTTTTCGGGAAATTCTTCCTCGCCCGAGAACCTGGACGAGCCAGCTCTGGAAGACGAGCCTTCACCGGGGTGATATTCCTGACTCATGACGGATGAAAGACCTTAACGCGAGGGCGACATCCATCCAACGGAAGTTGTGTTTTTGGTTGTTTGGTTATGAGATGGTCAATTTCTTGGGAAGGTTTAAGATGACGTCGGGCCAAAAGGGGTTTAGCGTCCATGTGACCCGGTATCATAGTAATGCGCCTGTAATGTTACCATACCTGTTACCATACCGCCATTGATGTCACTGTTCTACTCAGGCTCCTACGTTGTACTTGAGTTTACTTTTCATTTCGAACTAACAAACCATTCTCACCTGCAATCATGAATGTAAGGGGCATATAATAACCATGAATGTGGCCATTTTACTCACACGATGTGTCTCAGATCGTCGAATGGGCTTTCGGAAAGCGCATGACCCCCGCGGAGCGTCTGCGTAAACACCAGCGTGCCTTGGACCGAACACAGCGAGAGCTTGACCGAGAGCGAGTGAAACTAGAGAACCAAGAGAAGAAGCTAGTACAAGACATCAAGAAGAGTGCCAAAAATGGACAGGTTGGAGCCTGCAAGATCCAGGCCAAGGACCTTGTTCGAACACGGAGGTTGGTTTCTCTTGATTGTTTACTGATCGCAGCAGCATTGGCTAATTGGATGGCGACAACAGATACATTCAGAAGTTCTATCAAATGCGCACGCAATTACAGGCTATTTCTCTTCGCATCCAGGTACGCGCAAGCTGCCATCCGCTACCCCTCTTAGTTTTACGATGCGCTGACTATTACTCCTCCCAAGACCGTCCGAAGCAATGAGCAGATGATGCAATCGATGAAAGGAGCCACAATGCTTCTGGGTAGTATGAACAGACAGATGAATCTCCCAGCACTGCAACGAATCGCGATGGAATTTGAACGAGAAAATGACGTTATGGACCAACGGCAAGAGATGATGGATGATGCGATCGACGAAGCTACAGGAATGGAAGGGGAGGAAGAGGAAGGAGAAGATATCTTGAAGGAGGTTTTGGATGAAATAGGTGTTGATCTGAACCAGGCGGTTTGTTTCCCCGGCCCCCAAATATCGGAAGGTGGGCCTTGCAGACTAACATATTCTATCTACAGCTTGGTGACACACCTGAACACATACAGAAAGCACCAGTGAATGAAACCCGAGTTGCGCAGGCCATTGGAGGGGGAGGAAATACGAGTGATGATGACCTCCAAGCAAGACTGGACAGCCTTCGCCGATGATTACGACTTTCTCCTTATATGCCATTGATGACAGAGGTGATAATGCGACCCGTTGTGTTGAGTTCTAATTGAGTTTACCCGCCTTGCCGTTATTATTAGCATACCTTCCAAGATATTCTTGCTACCTACATACCAATCCATTTCCTTTTTAACTCCTCGCATTTCCCTCGACACGTTAAGGGCATCCAGCCGCGAACTAAATAATTTTACATAGGACCGCATTATACCTAGGTACTTATACGGCCGGCGACAAGAACACATTCATATAGTAAAATCATTAATCATTATTGAATTCCATTCATCTAACACTCTGATTGTATTTGAGCCACCATGATCGACATATGAAAATAGAAGCTTTAAGGTGATGCCTCTTGGAGAGGGGGAACTTTCTCATATCCATTGTCATCAGATCCATCCGAATATGTAGAATAATAAGCAGAGCTAGAAGAACCAGAGGAGGAGCCAGAGGAGGAGCCAGAGGAGTCAGAAGAATTATATCCCGGGCTTTGGAGGATGGGGAATGACATATCTTGGTCCACTGATATACTTGGCCATGGGAAACCCTTTCGACCATCTGCACGGTTTTTATCATGGAATTTCTTGACAAAGGGTCTTTTTAAAGGGCGGCCAGACTCGAGTTCTTCAGCAGACCAGCGAGAAAACCAAGGAAATGTTGATAACTCATCCAACGATGGCCGCTCGGACTTTTCTCTAGACAATGCGGTTTGTAACACATCTCTGCAGTCCTGTGAGAGTGATTCGTTGATTGCTGCATCCTCGTTGATCATCCTCTTGCGTCTGCGTTTGACTACTGGATAGAACGGGTCATTGTAAGGGCCATTATACATAGCATGCCAGTCCAAATTTTTCGGCACTGGTTTAGGCTCATCCCAGGGCCAGAAGCCATGCAAAAACCCGTAAACGATGGTTGAATATTTCCATAGGCAAATTTGCCGTTGGTCAACAATCAAGTAAATACTTTCAATGCCGACATCATCGTGGGATGGATCCCTCCAACTGTCGTACTTCTCCAATTCGATAGCTCGCTCGGGCATCATCTGGTACTCTTGGTAGGGGATAAAGTGGTCTATGTCGAATGTGTATGCGTTATTAAGTGAGAATTGGAGAATTCCAAGGTCGATTAGCTGGACATTAAGGTTTTGGTCCATGAGATAATTTGTCACTGAGATATCAGCATGGTAGACCTTCATATCAGCTAATTCTATCATAGCTTGGAGAAGCTGGGAAGCAATTTTACTCCCTTCTATTTCCCCAAGTTGAGGTTCTTTGGTTTCGGACATGAGATATCTGCCATCAAAAGCTGGGAACGGGGGATATCTCTTTCGGATGCGCGGCGGTATGGGCCCCTTGGACTTGATCCTGTCAAAATGGCTTTCATCAATAATTGAAATGGCTTCGTAGCTAGGATCAATACAGGGAGTCATGAGAATTGCTGTTAGCATACCGTGAGTGTAGACCGAGTTGAGGCGCGGGAACCTTTTGCTGTCGTCAAGATAGATCAGAAGGAGTGCTTCTTCTGGCATATATCGGGTCTCCCCATTAGGCTCACGAAATGGCGCCATCTGAGAATCCACACCCGACAATCTGTCCATCCACTGTGTTGTGTGGACTTGAGATTTGATTGCGTATTGTTCAAGGTCTTCCAGGGAAGCACCAGCAGCGCCTTTCTCGCGAGCAATAAATGTGGCACCAAATGCTGTGATCAGTTAGCAATGCATTCCTACAAAGGACATTAGAGAAAAAGGAGAGGACGGTCTTACTTCCTGCGCCTATGAACCCATATATCTGTACTCGCTTGAGAAGGTCTGGACAAAGGCATACCGCCTTGGCCGTGGTCTTCCCTTCAGAACTCAAACGGATGAAATCGTCATAAGAACTGCAGGCGTGTTTTTGAAATACTTCACTATCGCATCGGTGCCCTGTATCGTGCCGGCAATTACACCTCGAGAATTCCTCGTTATTCCGTTTGGCAAATGCTAGCCCTAGGCGATCCCGAAGAACCTGACTTACCTGGGGATACCTCTCGGACAATTCGCTTGATGGGTCTAAGAGCTCTTCGGCATTGTAAGAGAAGCTACCACTGTAGTCTTTTTTTTCGAATCCGCGGCCCTGCGGCAACTGATGGTTTAAGGTATTATTCCCCCTGATTGCGCCCAAATCTCTCCCTAGAAGATAATCAAAAGCATAAGGATCCCGTGGATTAAAGCCCATCTGTTCAGACATGGTAAGTGGTTAAATTAGGATAGAGAAAAGTGGTGTGTTGAGTTTGCGAGGAAAGCCCAAAGAGCGAAGAAGGTCACTTATGTACAGCGCTCAAGGAAAATTCTATGTATTGTTCTCAGAATAGAGACTACGAAGTTCGAATGAAAGGAATCCCTCGAAACAATTTCCTTATGAATATGCCAAAGAGTTATTTTTTTTAGAACAATGAACAAAGAGCCTAGAGTTACCTAGAGCACAATTACCCAAAATGCTCAGGTCTTATATCAGATGATGCTTGTAGAACTATAAATAAAAATAATTCACCCGGGCGATTCCCAAAGTTGAGGTCCCGAGGTCAGTTATGCGGCTGAATAACCCCCGGGGCCTGGAACCTTGGCCGCAGGAGGCGGGTGGAAGTTCCACGATTGTGGTCGTTGATGCGCCCCGTTCAGAGCCTCAACGTCAGCCTCATTGCACCCGGGTGAGAAATGAGAAACCAGGATATCCATGAATGAAAGATAAAGTATAGTGAATAAATTGCATAAATAGTAGTCGTTTTTCTCCTCCAAGAAGCACATTTCCTAAGAAACAAAAACATCTTTCCTGAACAATGTCTGCCATTAACACCGACAATGCGATGCAAACCTCAAACGACATCCCAAACCCAAACCCACTGTCTCCGGTAGTTCATTTGCAATATGTCCAGAGATACTGTGGCTCCCAATCAGCAAGTCCGGTTTATGAGGGCTTCACCTTTTTCAAGGCTATGCCCAAACAAAGTGCAACCTGGACTTGTGTAAAACGGACACTCATGAATCTGAATCAAGATGAATACATCGAGATGGTTCAGAAGAGGGCAGATCGGAAGCCCCCAGTGCAGCAATACCGGAAACTATCCTCCGATACCTTGCGCGCTCATATAAATCAACTGATTGACGAGCAAAAGAACAGTAATCCACTTGCTGAGTGGAGCTGTGTCTACGTCAAAGAACACTCCAAGATATCCAAGACCCGACACACTCGTCGCAGTGACCATGAAACAGTCTCCATGGATGTCATCATCATGCAAAGGCCCGTGAACACCCAGGCATTTTCCAGAACCTTGATGGGTGGCTCTGTGGCTATTGGGAAACCACTTCCATTGGATACAAATAACCCACCTATGTGGTCTCATCACAGAGATAATCATCAGATGCCCAATCAAAATGAGAATAATTTGCGGCCTATACTGCACGATTTGCCTCCCCACTTGGCTCCTGCAATGAACCATTTTGCACGATTGGTTTCAACCCGGGCAGCCCACGACGACCCAAATGGCCAGCAGTTTGAAGCCACGCATCCACATGATGAGACAAGTCATCCTGCAGGATCACGGGACCATTTGCATGAATCCGCCCGGTCAACTGCACCTGCAACTGACAACAATAGGCCAGCAAGTCCAGCCCTCAGTGCCACAAACAGCAGCGAGATGAGTCTTGAGGATAGTTCAGATTGTTCATCGGAAAACAACAGCGACCCAGATGATGCATCTATGCTTTCTGATGAATCCGACGACACAACCGCAACAGATGACCTAGAAAGCATGGAAACTGAGACTGAGGTTGAGTGCCAAGAGCCACAGCTAAACAAGGCCTCTTTCCGAGAGCATAATGCCGGTCCTTATCGCCGCGAGTCAAGCTATGGACCTCATTCTCGCCGAAAGTCTCAGAGCCGTAGCCTTGATAGAAGAAATGAGAGGAATCATGACCTCCGCGGCCAATTTGAGGCACCTCCAGTCAAAGCTCTTGGCCCTAGACGGGCTGAAGGGGCTCAATCAGGCTCTGTGCCTGGTAAAAGATATCGAACGCAGCTGATGAACGACAATGAGGTCCGAAGCCGAATGCTTGATCGCCGTGAAGAAAGTCTTGGACACCGGGATAAATGGCTGAAGAGAGCCCGTTCTGGAGTGCGTCACTTTGAGCGTCGTCAACCAGTGAGGGATACACCAGCAGTGTGTCGCTGTACCTGTCGTTGCGCTATCAAAGAGAAGAAGGAAGCCATGTGACTGAGACATTCTTTTACTTTGAATCTTTTGGTTATGTGTGCTGGTTTCTCTTGCCGTCACAGGAACTGTTTTTTTTGCACCGTTAGTTTGGAATAGTCATATTTATATAATTTATATAAACAGAATGGATGTGTTTTCAGAGCTGATTTTGTCAATCCAAAATATTATTCCAACATTCTTCAGACCACTCTAATGATATTTTCTGAAGCATAACTACACCAATGTAAATCAACAATGACATCAGTTTATAATATCCAACGCTGCCTATCTCTCTCGGGACATATTGCAGTCCCTTGATTGATCAGGGAAGAAGACATCATATGTTTCCTTGACACTCTGCAATCTACTTGTCTGCCTGGTGCTTATTGTCCGAAAGCGGTGGTCACATAAGTGCTAGGATGGGCCCATAATACTTTGTGTAAATCGTCAGCCCTAGAAATAATAGCGCCCACGCCCCAGCTGGAGGTGCCGGTGAACACTAGAATGGTAAGTGTATTGTTTTTACAAATCTATGTACTTCAATTGTTCACATATGTATCAGTCGGTTTCTCTAAGAAGAATAACCCTGCACGTCAGTATGGCCGAGTGGTTAAGGCGCTAGACTGTTCGTATCATCTTAATATTTCAATTTTAGAAATTGTATTCTAACACCATCTCCAGTGAATCTCTATTCGAGGTATCTAGTTCATTCGTGATCCTAGGTTCGAACCCTAGTGCTGACGTTCGTTCTTTTTTTGCTTCAAATCACACAGTTTATGACAATAGATTGAGATTGAATGATATGGAATGCAAAAAATGTCTGGCTTATCGTCTTAACGTATAATACTCTGTATAGGCTATTAGATTACCGTTAGTGACAGTGGATTCTCCTGCAGTATGTACTATGAGTAATTATATTATAGCTACTGAATACACCAATCTCTAAAAATCCAGTTCTGAGAGTAAATTCTTAGTACCTACGCTATAACTCTGTCTTAATGTACGACAGCTTATCTGTTTGGACTTATAGCTATGTAGAAATAGAGTAATTTGTCAGAAATATGTGTACATGATCCAAAGTATTGGGCGAGATTTGATACCCCATATACCGCGCCCAGCTGACACCGGGTCTAGATGACCTCGGGAGCTTTGGCTGATAACTAAGCATCTTGGTTTTTGACGGGGCTTTCAGACAGTGGTATGTTTTAGGGGGTTACTGCAGGTCCTTTAAGTCACCAACCGCATATTTGACTACCTTACATTAGCTCGCATATTAGACACATAGATAGTTCAGATCATTCACTGCCCACTCGTAACAAAGCTGATTCCTCATTTGCACTTTCTTGGGGCATCAAACCTTGGTTACAAGCAGACAAAATCTACTATAGTGTCAAGTCGTGCTCAGAGGAACGTATATGGGCCTACTTTACACAAGTGGTACGTTGTTTGATCCAGTTGATGGAGCTTGTTGATATGGCGGAGAAAATAGATCGGACGACTAATGTTAAAAACCCATACGAATGGGAGTCCAAACATATGATGTCCGGTCAATAATAATTAAGGAACTATGTACTTTGCACCAAGTAGATGCCCCCGGTGAGCCCCGAGGGAGACCGATGTCATGATTGACACCTAGTAATTCAGGCAACCGATCGGCGTGCCCCTCCATTTACACCAATTTACTTTCCTTCCGGTCTTCTTCCTCTTCCATAGCTATCAACATCCCTCAAACTTCTTCTTTCTCTCTTCAAACCCCATAACTTATTTATCAACATGCCTCGCCAATTCTTCGTCGGTGGTAACTTCAAGATGTACGTTATTCGAGCTTCGCTACCCCGCGGTCTCAAGCCCCTCAATCCTTTTACCTATGCCTACTCGTTTTCATGAGAGACCGCGCAATTGACACTATAAAGGAACGGTGTTGCTCAGAGCATCACCGACATCGTGAAGAACCTCAATTCCGCCAAGCTCGACAACAGCACCGAGGTCGTCATCTCTCCCCCCGCCATCTACCTCGCTCTGACCCGCGAGCTTGCCGACCCCAAGATCGGTGTTGCTGCCCAGAACGTCTACGACAAGCCCAACGGTGCTTTCACCGGAGAGATCAGCGTTGAGCAGCTCCGCGATAACAAGATTAACTGGGCTGTCATCGGCCACAGCGAGCGCCGAGTGATCCTCAAGGAGACTGATGAGGTATGCATACCCGGAGTCCCCCCAAACTCCTAACCCTCCGCAAACACCACAGTTAAATGAAGCATTAACTAACAGCCACTCGATAGTTCATCGCCCGCAAGACCAAGGCCGCCATTGAGGGTGGTGTTTCTGTCATCTTCTGCATCGGAGAGACCCTTGAGGTACGTCATTACTACCCGGTTTTCCCATTTTCGTCCCGATAGTGGGTCATCGGGTCAAGACCGGCTATATGTTTTCTGAAGGCATCCCGCTCACACCCGATTTCTTATGTAGGAGCGTGAGGCCAACAAGACCATCGAGGTCGTCACCCGCCAGCTCAACGCTGCCGCCAAGGAGCTGAGCGCAGAGCAGTGGGAGAAGGTCGTCATTGCCTACGAGCCCGTCTGGTATGAACTTACCCCATTGCTTCGATATCAAAATATTTCCTGAATATCTCTGACATCTATCTGTAGGGCTATTGGCACTGGAAAGGTCGCCACCACCGAGCAGGCCCAGGAAGTTCACGCCGCTATCCGCAAGTGGCTCGGCGAGTCCATCTCCGCCAAGGCCCAGGAGGACGTTCGCATCATCTACGGTGGCTCCGTCAGCGAGAAGAACTGCCGTGAGCTCGCTACTCAGCCCGATGTTGACGGTTTCTTGGTTGGCGGTGCCAGCTTGAAGCCTGCCTGTAAGTTCTTAGCAGCCCATCTACTGAAATTATCCACCAAATTGGTACTAACTAAGATCTGCAGTCGTCGACATCATCAACGCCCGCATCTAAGGGGTTTCCGAAAGAAACTAATACCCCCAGAGTGCCCCAATCATCAGAGTAAATAGCTCTGTGATGTAGGCGTCAGATAGAAGACAAAAGCTTGGAATGTCAAGTATATGATCATGAATCTATGTACAATTCTGAAGTATATTTCGATAACACATAATCGTTGCTACCCCAGCGGGGTAATTATTTCCCTGGCTAAACAGACCGTCCAATGATATGCGCCTAGACAACACAAGTAGTAGTCTTAAATAGCACGTAACCTATGAAGAGTACAACACCGAGACCCCAACGCCACGCCAATACGACATCCCAGGACCCCCGCCTCCACTCTGGGCCGAGCCGCTGCCCGAAGCCGAAGAAACAGAAGGTGATGATGAGAACGAACCCGGACCCAGCCCGACGCCCGCGCTCACCAAAAGCTCCTTAACCCGGCCTTCCCAGAGAAGCCGCACATTCCAAGACTGATCAATGCGCAACTTAATGACAGAGTCACTCGTCTCGGCCTCGCCATGAGTGCTGGAGCTCAGGGAACCCTCGGGACGAGCCGGGTCCTCTAGGAGCGGGGAAGCCGGTGAACCAGGCAGGGAAACGCCGAAGTCATGCATGCGCATTTTACGACGGGCCCATTCTAGATCGTCATCACTGGAGGTGCTAGATTTCTTGGTTTGACGCCATAGTTCGCAGCCAGCGACCATTTCGCTTTCCCAGCTGTAGACGTTGAAGCCGAAGCGTGAGCTGAAGGCGAGGTTGGGCGAGGCGCGGAGGGAGTAGGTTGTAGATAGAGAGCCCACAATCGGGGCTAATGTTAGTGTCAGGGTGTATGGGAAGGTTGAGATGGGTGTTCGGGTGTGGCAAGGTGGTGATGATGATGATTGCGGGACCTCGGTGGCTGCGGGTAATGTGGTGAATCGCAGGCCCGTTGACATGCCGATCAGTGATGAGATCGGGGAATAGTATGCCTCTGCGCCTGCGGAAAGGAGTGACAATGGTGGCGGGACGTCTTTGCGGGTGTATCTAGGATCGGGGCCGAAGTTCCAGAGTCCGCGCCAGCCGAATAGGGCGTTGTCTGTGCTGAAGAGGTATTCATTGCTGTACTTGCCCGTGTCGTGGGATAGCTGGGTGAGAATTGAGGCCTGTGGCGCGGATTTGGATTGCGGCGGTCCTTGGGTTGAGCAGACTGCTAGTGATAGTTGCATATTTGTAGAGATTCTGCGTAGAAAGAGCGCATATAGAGTGGAGGGAGGTGGAAGATGGAGAGAAGCATGGAGCAGAGTAGCTTTCCGCTTTGCTTCATTTTCTCTATTATTTTCTCCATCTTTGAGATTTGGTGGTTCTGGGCGACTTCCATCTTTGAGCCCCGGAATGCTCACGCCATCTAATAGCGAGTCCCATCCCCAGGCCTGGACCGGGGCCGCGGGGGCCTGCACTTGGCGGTATCCCGGGCATATCTTTCGAAGCGGGATTGACGCACTTCCACTTGGTAGGTTGTTAAATGGCACGGTACTAAATAGATATGACACAGATCCATCGAGCAATCCGACGGTGCCGAGTGTGTAACTGGTAGCAAAATGGGGAGTGGACAATGACGAAAGGTGAACGCGCAATCGCTCGGGGGTGGAAAAATCCAGGATCGCTGCACAAAATATGTTAGATCAACAATCTCCCTATCCCATATAGAGACTTTCCGGCATAAACCAATCACATACATTGAGCGGTGGTGTTGAGCGACGAGTACGAGTTGTCGCGATTCCAGTGGGTCGCCTCGGCGAAGGATAGCTGGATGTAGTCCATAAAGTCCAGCATTGTCCGGACTAGGCCCTTGCAGGCGACAGTATGACTAGCGCCGTAAAATGAAAGAAAGAACACCTGAAGCAAGCGCAATTGAAGTGAACTCACCCTGAGGGATCACAGCTGATTGCCCCATTCAGGTTAGCGTTGGATAAGCCCGGCGGTAGGTTAATCCGGTTATCAGCGAAGAAAAAATGTCTGTGGGGGAAACATCCAACCTTCTGTCTGAATTCATTGAACCACCAATTCTAAAATCATAATTCAACATGCCTCGTTCAAAGCGTGCGCGCGTCGTCCACGAGTCGAAGACCACCAAGAAAGATCACAAGGAGCAGACCCGCCGGCTATTCGCCAACATCCGGGAATGTATCGAGGAATATGATCACCTTTTTGTCTTTGCGGTCGATAACATGCGGAACACCTATTTGAAGGATGTGCGCACTGAGTTCGCCGACAGCCGGTAAGAATCACTACTTCCACCGGAATTTGCTTGATTTATTGAATCGGAAAAAGCGCTTGAATACCAGCGGTGGATCTGATATCAAATATTGATATATGCAAATCCTTCAACCAAGATCAATCGTCTAATAATATCATTCTAGAGTTTTCTTCGGTAAGACCAAGGTCATGGGCAAGGCCCTTGGCACTGATGCCGAAAGCGAAGCCGCGCCCAATGTGCGCAAACTCACTCCTTTCCTCGCCGGCGCCGTCGGCTTGCTCTTCACCTCCCGCACTCCGGAATCAGTCATCGAATACTTCGAGAACTTCCGTCCCCAGGACTTCGCCCGCGCTGGAACCGAAGCCACCCGTTCTTTCACCATCCCCAACGGCCTGGTCACCGCCCGGGGCGGCGAGATCCCCGCTGATCAGGATGAGCCTGTCAGCCACACCATTGAGCCCGCGCTCCGCAAGCTCGGCGTCCCCACCCGTCTGGTGAAGGGCAAGGTCATGCTTGAGTTGACTGAGGGTCAGGAGGGTTACCCCGTATGCCAAGAGGGAGAGACTCTGGACTCACGACAGACTACGTTGTTGAAGATGTTCGGTATCACCTCGTCCGAGTTCAAGGTCGATCTCAAGGCCTACTGGACGCGGAGTACTGAGGAGGTCAAGATCCTCGAGACTGAGGGTGGAATGGATGTTGATGCATAGATGGGATCTTTATATTTTTCCGTTTTTTATTTCTTCTCTTTCCCATTCGGCTTCCGTGTGGCCGAAAAAAGAACTCTGCTGGGCATCTTATGGAGTTTGGTGAGGGCGCTTTCTTTGCAAATATATTGAAGACTTGTGTGTTTTATCTCTCTTTCTCTCGTCCTTATATGGGGGGCTTTCCCTCCTGCTGGATTATGAGCCTATGACAAGATTCGGATACCAGGTTGAAAAAAGTCTACAAATTTACCTCGTTCTTGGATATTAATCAACCGTAGTGCAGAATCACTAGCTGTATTGCCTAGACTTTCATTTATCTAGCAAGATACTTGCCTTCAGTCATTTCACATGGTTCTTACCTGGTCGTACCTGATGGTTTACCAGATTCCATTTCGCGCGGAAGAGGACCGACTAAAATACAAATACTTACCCCTGCAGAGAAAACGAGATCTCATTAAGACAAAGGGGGAGAAAAGGGAAAAAAAGGAAAAAGAATTGGAACACAAGGGAAGAAAGAAAACACCAAGGGAAAGAAAAATAGATAGAACGGGGAATACAAGCACAATTCATGAGTGTCTCCGTCTGCTGGGGAGTTTAGGTGGACCAAGCAGGGGATGTAGAGAATCACCACGTTGACATCGAGTTCTGATGTTGATATCGTGGCATGAGGTGGAAAAACATTGACGGTTGTGATCGTTATAGCGGACTGAATTGCACATGAGCCAATTCATGATTTACCCCCTTACCCTTGAGAAAGAGTGATGAAAACTGGGTATATCAGTGATACCCTCAAGCAAAACCAGACTTCATAAGAAAGAGGTAAGACCTGGGGGATAAGTGAAGGCCTAGTACCTTCTCCTGGAACGGGGATCATCG